ATTCGTTATTTTGTATCAGAAAGATCTGCTTATATATAATTCTTCGGTGAGTGTGTATGTCACTGAACTTCTCTTAAACGACTGGACCGATTTTGGTGAAATTTTTTGTGTGTGTTCAAGGGGATCTGGGAATGGTTTAGATTCACAAATGGCGCTGCAGTTGGTGTCTAGGTTAGTTATCCTAAACGGCTGAACTAATTTGAGTGAATTTTTGTTTATACATTCAAGTGGTTATGCAGGACAACGTCTGTCGGGTCGCTAGTGTTTTTATAATAACTAACGTAAGACATACTAAATTAATTACAACTACTAAAAGCTCTACTAGTTTCGAGCCACAGAGGGGCTCATCCTCATGATCAGTGTGAGCGGTCGCGGCGATACTCGATACTCTGTGGTTCGAAACTAGTAGAGCTTTTCTCAGTATATTCACGTGAGTAACCCGCGAGTTTCAGTTGATTAAGATCTGCTCAGTGTAACTGGTTGCCTTGTACCTATTTCGAAGAAAAAAACATTGAGAAACCTAGTACCAAAGGTAAGCATAGAATTCTGTAACCGAAACACTCAATATTACTTCCCACTTCGACTCTGTCTCATACTCATACAATAGACTTATAAATACGACTAACGAGGTTACCCACCAATAAATAGTTCAAGGACTTAAAAAACTAGAAGTGGATCTTCATTGCTCTTATTATTTTCGATAAATCTCTCAGTGATTCAAGTTTCAATCGTATATGATTCATTGTAGATATTACAAGTACATACGTAGCTACCATCAAAAACCGGTTTATTATGGTCTACCTATGTATGATTTTTTCACACACTCAACAGTCTGTTTATATTGGTTTTGTATAGTTGAAACTGTAGTTGTGTGTACGGATGATCTAAAAGATTTGTTTGAAGTTCAGTTTTTATATGCGTGACGTATCTAGTCATAAAATGTATCTGTGTAATCAGTATCGATGTGATGCGTACGTAAAAAAGAGGTGCTTTGGGATTCTGTAACTCGAAAATTATAGACTTTTGATTTTACTAGAAGTCGTGATAGACCATTACCTATCGGATTTGATTAAGCTCTATATCCAAAGCTGCTCTAGATATAAAAAAATGTATTTGCCTTCTCCACGTATGACTGGCAGGCAGGAGATTGCCATTTTACAGGTTTCAGTTTATTAAAATTATGGCACGTCTCTTATGTGGCTCTTAAGACACCCGCAGGTTGTCCAGTCCAACAATAAGAAGTTCGCCAACATGGAATTTCCCACAAGGAGTTCTCGACAAGAAGTTCCCAACAAAAAGTTCTCAGCAAGGAGTTCCCAACGAGCAGTTCCCAATATGGAGTTCCTAACAAGGAGTTCCCAACAAGAAGTTCCCAACATGGAGTTCCCAACAAGGAGTTCCCAACATGGAGTTCCCAACAAGGAGTTCTCGACAAGTGCTTCCCAACAAGGAGTTCTCAGCAAGGAGTTCCCAATATGGAGTTCCCAACAAGGAGTTCTCAACAAGGGGTTCCTAACAAGAAGGTTTTGACAAGGAGTTCCCGACAAGAATTTCTCGACAAGAAGTTCCCAACAAGGAGTTCATGTTTATAAAAACTTTTTTCTCTCAAGTTGACTCACAATTCAGCGGTGTATGGACACGTACTTACTATAAGTTGGTTATCGATTTATCCAACACTAAAAACATCTCAATCCGTACAGACGTTTTTGAGAACGTGTTCACAAAATACATAACCAAACATGTCCCTTTTATTAGTTGATACCTATCGGATATAGTTTTGTATTCCCTTGGAACTGTGATGTAATCAAAAGTTGTAAGTTCCAAGCAATTATAAGATAGGTACCTAAAGTTGTTTGCGTCACATCTTTTGAGAGTCTTGAGGGGATCAAATCTTGTTGATGTTGATATTTGAGGTCATTTTACTTGGAAGCAATGCCTTATATGTTCAAAGCAGAAACACGTGATCGGAAATATTCTGTAATCGAAAGTGTTCCATGGTTTTACTGACCATGGTTCCATGGTCGTCGTTTTCATGGTTGTATCTGTGGGCAATGTAGATCCTGGCTTACATAAAAAATTAAGTAACTGCATAGATATTTTTGTATAATCCCAAAACTTTTGAAATATATAATGACATCACGCCTTTGTTATTAATTTGTGTTTATTATGACGACACGAAAATATTTTTTTTTTTTTATTGTTTGTAAACCTATCGTATATTCTGATGCGCTTAGTATCCTATCATCTGGGGCAGCACAGCATGATTTTTTAAAATATTTGATTAGCATCATGACATTTGACCACTATCTCGCCTGGTGGTCAGCGACAACCAATATTACCTATTCACTCGGGCCTTGAGGACACCCAGGAAATACGGACTCTGGCAAAAAATTCTACTCCTTAGACTGCTAAGGAGTACGTACAAGGAGTACGTACAAGGAAGCTTGATGCGAAGCGCTTCGTGCGTGTGTGTAAATTAGTCGTTTATCTTTATAATATATATAAAAATGAAACCCGTTTCCCGTTGTCACGTCATAACTTGAGAACGGCTAGACCGATTTGGCTGATTTTTGTTGTGATTATTATTGCCAGGAGAAGGTTCTTATAACAGAAAATGTCCTGAACAGAAAACGGGATTGCGCGTACGAAGTCGCGGGCAGAAGCTAGTTATACATAATTAAGTTCATAAGCAATGTATAAGTATAGATAATTATATTTAGGTATAAGTTTAACACAGAATCAGAGCGTAAAGTGATTTAAAGTTGATTCGATTTGATTTACTGTTGCATTGTTTTTTTTTCAATCTTTTGATCTTATTCCAAGTAGGTTGGGGTTGATCTCAATATTCAAACACATTCATACTTAATTTTCTTCTAATGTAGGTATTTCACTATACATCACCTTAAATTGCTCTTTTGTAGACTCAAATATTGTTTATCTATCTTCAATTCCACTTCTGTGTTTCCTGAAGGGGTCTTTTAGTCTATGACTAATCCCTTTAATAAAGGTTCTAGAGAAGAAAAAGATACAATACCCATTTCTTTTAAAAATCCATTAGAAATTATATACAACCACGGTTGTATCACACACATGTACACAATTTAAACTAAAAACAAAAACAACGTTTTACACTACGATCAAATATTTAAATACGAAACCTACAACTAACCGACCATTTATTGTGATACAACTTACGAACAGTTGTTTATTTAGTTAATACGAATTTATATAAATTATCCGAGGAGCTTCTGAAACTTAAATATCTATGGAATTACACAATTTCGACGAAAAATATTTATTTGTATACATTTTTTCAAATATTTGGACATTTCGAGAGCGGTTGTTTAAATTATTTTTGCAACGCCATTGAAGAAGATGTAAATAATAAAATATGAATTAGGTACATACTCTTATCTAGAAAACATTACAATTCATGAAAAGATGTGATATGAGTGTCATATTAATGGGAAAATGGCTGAAGAACACCGCCATATATCGAGAACAATTCAGATTTCGTCTTACCCATCTATTTTTGGGAAATTTGAATTAAAAACCTTTTATATGGGTTATACCGGTAAACGAGCAGACGGATCATCTGATGGTAAGCAATCGGCGCCGCCCATGGACTCCCAAAACACCAGGGGTATTACAAGTGCGTTACCGGCCTTTTAGCTATTAAGAATTTGAGGGTTACTGGGGATTCGTGGATTGGGGAGATCAGGGGAGGGGTAATTGGGTCTCCGGTTTAACACGATGAATTGTCGACGAATCAACGCAAGTATTGTTTCACATTGGTTTTCTGTGAGGCAATGGTATCACTCCGGTCGAGCCGGCCCATTCGTGCCGAAGCAAAGCTCACTTTCACTTGTTGTATTGTTAAAAAATTTAATTAAATAGCTGTTTTGACGTTGGTGAGATACACAAAAACAAAGGTGTTTTAATACAATTCATTTTTTTTATTTATATTCATTTGTGATCGTCTCACTGCACTATAATACAATATTCATTTGAATATATATACATACTAAAACTCCTTGGTTTGTTTAAATCAGTGGCTCCCAACCGTGGACCATAAGTGGGGTCGTAGAAGACGAAATATTGTTCGCGAAATTAAAAAAAAAATCAAGACAGAGGGATTGTCTTGTGTTTTCAATAAATACAACGGTTAAAGCTGAAATAAAACTTATGTCAAAGGACATAACTGAGAGAATCGATTGATTTCAATAATCGATATGTCACTATTCCTACGCGAATGTGGCTCACGACTCTAGAGAAAATCTTGGTCCAGACCTCATGTAAAAAATAATACATAGTAATAGATGGTCCGATGGTCCTAACAAATGTTCTAATTTGGTCCATGGCCAAAAAAACCTTGGAAACCCCTGGTTTAAATAGATAGACACTCGCACGTAGTCTGAAATTGTGCACGGTATATGGCAATAGGCTCACCCCCTATTACATGGGACTCATAACATAAATAGTGAAAAGTGTGTGTTACATTATACAGTGGCATAATGTACACCTCTGCCTACCCCTTCGGGGATAAAAGGCGTGATGTTATGTATGTATGTATGTATGTATTATACAGTGGCATCATGTGCACTTCTGCCTACCCCTTCGGGGATAAAAGGCGTGTTATTATGTTATGTTATTTATTTAATATTTTTTACACACAAACAGGTCAAAGGACGACACTTTTATAAAATTCAAGGACATAGGTGCTACTTATTCTTGTTAGAATTCTTCCAGTAGATCTGAGACAGGAAAAGTAATTTAAACAATGCATGTTAGGACTGTGATTTTCTTAATACTTTATTAATATTGGTATTTAGTAATAGACGGTGATCCTATTGCCATACACCAGTCCAGTGCTATGTTACGTTATACTTGTACTTGGTGAGAAGAGCTGAAGACCGAGCTCAGTGGCGTGCCATAGGAGAGGCCTATGTCCAGCAGTGGACGAATACAGGCTGATGATGATGATGATGACTCGTACTTACCACATTAGCTATATTGAACCTAACGCGTACTTTACTGTCTTTTTTCCGCCTCTTCATTTTGCTGACAGTTCTATTCATTCACTCTTTACACACTTAACCCATTGTTTAATTCACTCATTCGGTCTTTTATAAGTTATCACTTGTTTTACTCATAACGAAATTATATTTATGAAACCGATCATTTTTCAAAATAAGTCTTGAATGAAGTTTTGGAGCATTGGTAACTGATGCACATAATTATGTAAGTGTTTGTTTTCAATTAACTTTAAATGTGATTGTTTCAATTGTTTGAAGTAAATTTTGTAGCAATCATTTTGAAAAAGTGATTATCTATATATCATATAACATAGAATTAAAAATAACTTTCATCTTGTCAGTCTCGCTAAAACTCGAGAATGACTGAACCGAGTTGGCTAATTTTGGTTTTGAAATGGTTGTGTTTTTTTGGTTCGTAGATTTAAAGTTTGCCAGGTCAGCTAGTAGGAAATAAAAATGATTTTAAGGTATATGCTGAGCTAGCTAGTATCAATAAAGATTCATTTGTTTATAAAATAAATGAGATAAAACAAAACACCAACACAGTCCCAATTTAAACTCCCTTTCAAAACTTTAACTTTTTTTTGTAAGAACGCAGCACACGAATCAGTAATTAAAGTATTCGATTCAATTTATAAACTCGGCAATGAATCGCTCACTCGAAAACAAAACTAATATATTGGCACTTTGTTTATAACGCGACGATGGCGCTTTAAAGCGCTGTAAAGCGTATCACGGACGCTTCCAAACTAAAGTCCGTATAGTTTTGTCCGATCAGAAATCTATTTATAGTGTAAACTGGATTTGTGAATGAATGTTTGTTGGTTTTCTGTTATAAATGCTGTAATTTTATTAATTCGGATACGTTTCAAATGATAGGAGTTTTATAAGAAATATGACAATAATTGCTGCCCCGGTCTCTTCTTCTTCCCTCATAGCTGCTCAGCGAGCGATGTTGAGAGCTATGCTCGGAGTTTCTTTACGCGACAAAATCCGAAATATGGAATTTCGCCAAAGAACAAGAGTTACCGACATAGCTCGCAAAATCTGCAGGCTGAAATGGGCAGGCCACGTCGCTCAACGGACTGACGGCAAATGGGCTAGGAAAGTCCTTGAGTAGAGAAGACGAAGCGTGCCCAGGCCTCCAGCTAGGTGGATTGACGACATCGCCAGAGTTGCGGGGAGCCAGTGAATGCAGGTGGCGAGTTGTCGTTCAACGTGGAAGACTAAGGGGGAGGCCTTTGTCTAGTAGTGGACGTCTTTCAGCTGTTGATGAAGGCTTCTTCATATATTACAGACCTATGGGAAGGGTAGGGATATTGACATCGAGAAGTCTACTCGGCTGTCACAATACGCCTTAATTACAAAGAGGTTAGTTTTTGAAAAAAATAATAAACACAGAAACTATTTTGTGACAATTTCATATTTAACGAATCATCATCTGTATATTTATGGTGATCGACCTGAAAACGATTTGACACAGTGTGCCCATTACGTCTGATGAACGTAAACAAATAACTGTCTTGGATCTCACACTGAAATGAAACTGAAAATATGTTTTATCATTGGAAGCTTAATTTTAGGTGATCTATCTTTATTGATGACTATTAATTGTTCATTCACACTTGTATTATTTTGAAATAAACAGCTTTTTACCAAGTAATTATAATTTTATATAAAAAATGATACAGACTAGAAAAAATCACCGCTATTCCAGATTCAAGTGAAAGTTAATATTTTAGACTGAAACTTAATTTTGTATGACTTGGTATGGGTAAAGATGGACGAAAACCTTTTTCAAATCAAATCAATTATTCGATAATATACATAGGCCATTAAATAACATTAAGTTATGAGCAGAGAAGTACAGCTTCGACCACATTACGCCTTGAGGCATACAAAACACAAAATGACGACATCATAATATTTTTATTCATTTAACGAAAGCTGTGCTAGATCAAAATCATAAATTTAACCAAGAATTACACAAGATGTTATACAATTATGAATACGCCTTGATAACACACATAGTTACTTATGAATAAAAATTCATAATCTCTATTCATACCTAATAGCCATTACTTTACAATATCCTAGCCATTCATCAATCATTCTAACTACATCAATTAATTTAAGCGTTATTGCTCTTCATATAAGTGTTATATTTGCTTGTAAAGCTATCTATAGTCAACTATAAATTATATGGAAACCCAGAGCCAAGTCTGGACCATCCGTTTGTGAGTATAAACAAATTAAGATCGCCAAATGTCTAGATCAAAGAAGACGTGATTGTTTTACGCTATTCTTGTACAAAGATACAGAGAAACTGGAAGTGTCTTCATGAAATAAGAAATTAAACAGGATTCTTTTAAACCTTGAAGGATTCGTAGAAACGTATGTTTAGTTTAATGTATCACTCGTATTTTGTGACTTGTGACTTGTGTAATTGATAGGGAGCGATTGAACTAATAATAATCCTTTATACAGCCTCAGATGTTATATCTAGTCTGGTTTGACGCTGCATACAATATTTCAAGTATCTAGACGTGTTTAACACAGAAATACCTGGCACTGAACTTCCAGCGATTTTCCGTAAGAAGAAGAAATTATTTCATAAATAATACCAATATGAACAATATTAACCGCTTGAATGGCGTATATGAGACACAATAAAAAATACATTGTGTCTCGCGTGGATCCATGTTTAAATATACGACGTGTTGATGAAAATTCGAATTTAAAACCCTAGTAAATATAAACAAGTATAACTGTATTATGGAGTTTACAGACGTCATATTTGGCGTCAAAAACATGGCGCCGTGTTGGATTTCATATTTGTTTTGTTGCGTAGATATGTCAACGTAAAATGGGTAACAGCGCATACTGTTTTTCACGCAACGCCGGATAATATAGATGGGACGTTTTCATGTTTTTTTTAAAGTCGTATGCATGCACTGTTACTGAATTTTTTTTAACAAGGGAAAATCATCGAATGTCTGCTCCCGCCTGGGTGAGGCGGGAGGGAGTGTCAGAATCTTACTGACTAAAAACTACCCCGTTCCTACTCCTGCACTTCGAGCCGGAGCCCCGGTAACCTGTTATGTTCTCCGCGGCTCCGTATCGGCATCAGCCCTATTATCGGCATTAGGCCATCCGTGGTGGTCTGATGGCTCTTTGAGGCGCGCGCGGATTGCAACGCGCCATAAGCTCGGGTCAATTTTACTGCTCTAAGAGCATACCACGGCCTCACAGGAAACCAGCGTGAAACAACGGTTGTGTTTTGCCTTGTGATTAAGTTTACCGGAGGCGCAAACGCTATTTACTCAAAGATCTGCTACAAGCTTGTTGTAAAACAAGTGAATTTGTTTCTGCAAATAGGCTACAAGGCAGCACTTTTACACGTAAATTTTTTAAGCGAACGATGAGGCCGACATTTCCTAACTGACTAATCTGACTTTTAAAGTCCAGACAATATATATATATAAAAGATTATGTGTGAGAACCGTGCAAGTTTATTCTGTAATATAGTATCGTGGGTGTCCATGAGCGGTACTGATTGTATACCATCAGGTGATCTGTCTTATCCCACTAAAGAGTTGGAAGAAAATTGTAATGCTTCTTACACTCAAGACAATAATTCGATTACCATTACAACATCTTGTTAGAAAATCAAATGGTTCGTACGAAACGCAGTGCATGACCAATTCAAAGATCTGGCTATAGTCCAAAAGTTTGTATGACTAATCGGGTTGTAAAGATAATTCACGAGCGTTTCGATACCAATACTAATTCCAAAAGTTACGGAAATACAGATAGATAGTTTTTTTTTCTATGTAATGCAAGCATAAAATGATGGATTTCATTCTCTGAAATAGTTTATCCGTGTAAAGCTCTTCCGTGAAACGTGTAGTATTTAAAGGTATTATCACTATTGTCAAACTGGCAACGTCTACATCCAAATACCTGTCTAATTGCAAAATATCAACAAAATCAATACCAAAAGCCTTTGGCAGTCCCTGTCGAACTAAACCTTCTCTGCATAATTTCTTGGCAGGCAAGGTGAAGATCGCGCGTTAAAAAGGTCAGATTTATCACACAGAGGAGCCGCGGATGCTAACGGGTTGTCGGTGCTCCAGCTCAAACAGCAGAGTAGGAACGGGATGGTTTTTAGTCAGTAAAAGTCTAACTCTATCTCGCCTCACTCAAGGCGGGAGATGTCATTGGATGATGTTCCCCCTCAAAAAAAAGTCATCAAATGGGTGATTTCTTAGTTAGGTCACAAAAATGTAATCTGCTCTGCTGTCACCAGATATCAAGTGAGAAACCTTTGCTATTTTTGAAGTCGGCTAAAAATACACTCTATTGCAATGCCCTTCTAGAATTTCTACATCCTTGTTTACAAAGACTTAACCGGATATTTCTCAATGTAAGTCTTTGTAGTTCTTCTATTGTATTTTTTTAAGGGGGAAAAATCATCGAATGACTTCTCCCGCAAGGGTGAGTGTCAGACTCTTACTGACTAAAAACCACCCGTTCCTACTCCTGCATCTCGAGCCGGAGCCCCGGTGACCCGTTAGATACTCCGCGGCTCCGTATGTGCATCAGCCCTATTGGGCCCCATCCGTGGTGGTCTGATGACTCTTTGAGGTGCGCGCGGAACGTGATTCGCCGTACGCTCGGTCTTCTATAGTATAGAGTAACATTATTAAAGCGATTATATATTATTATCATCTTACTTTGTATATAATGGCTATGGTTTCAAGGAATCATTCCAATGGCGGCAAAATGTAAAGATTTGGCAGCGGCTTTATCATGTACATCGTGATTGCTATTGAACTATTTATAATAATATGTATATGTAGCTACCCAATTTTTTATTTTTTTTTTAAGGGAGGAAAATCATCGAATGACTGCTCCCGCCTGGGTGAGGCGGGAGCGAGTATCAGACTCTTACTGACTAAAAACCACCCCGTTCCTTCCCCTGCACGTCGTGCCGGGAAAAATGGTTTTGAAAACTCCAATGCACGAATTGATTTAACTAT